AGCTTCCGGTACCCTCCAGGCCCAGCTTCCCAGAGCCAGTCTTCCTGTGTCTCAGCTGTTCAGGATTCAGCCCCCAGTGCACTGCCCCACCCCCTGCAGGGGCACCTTTCAAACACTATAGATGCCTTGGGTCTTGGTCTCCACCACCCTCACCATAACTTACAGATCTCATTCCCTTGGCTACAGGAAGTGAGAAGGGGAGATCACTTTTTATTAAACCCTTCAGGAAGTTCATGGAGCCAGTGGCCATTCAGCTAAGCCCAGAAGGATGCCAACCCAGACGGTAATGGCTGACAGAAGCCTACAGCCCATGACCTCCCAGACCACACTCTTGGAGTCTCACTGGGACTTTGAGTGTTTCAACTCAAAAGAGTTAACCTCATGTTGGGCATCATGGAAGCTTTAGGATGAGATCTGCGTGCCTGTCACCAGGACTCAGCCCGGGTCATCCTCCTCCAGGCCCCTCTGCTCAGTTCCCAGAACAACCACGCCCTTCCACCATCATCACCCCAAGGAACTGCCTCCCCCACTACCTGTGACCTTCATGAGAAGCATCAAGAAAATGCCAGCATCTGGCACATGAGGTGCTTCATGATGTTTGAGAATGAGGGGCTGTACCCAGAACCCACACCTATGCGTATTAGTGCTTTTCAGTCAGGGTGATTTTGTCCCCAGGGACATTTAGCAGTATCTGCAGAGAGTTTTGGTTGTCACATTGTACATGGTGGCAGGGAAGGGGGTTGCAGGCATGTGGAGGGCAGAGAGTTGCTAAACATCATCCAGGTCACAGGACTGCCCCCACAACAAATGATCATTCAGCCCCAAATGCCGGTGGTGTCAAGAGTAAGAAAACTTAGTGCTGGAAATGGTAACCACACAGAGACACCAGGGAATGTTTGTGGGGGCACAAATGGCCTCCACTAAGAGAAGCCAAGACAACCCACAAGTAACATACAGGGGAAGTAACATACTCTGGGCCACACCACACAGCAGCAGCAGCCTAAGACGCAGTCTCTGGACTCATCCACCAGGGCTCTTTCTGCCAATACATGGCTCACAGCCTCTTCTCCCACCCGGTCACATCCCAAACCATTCCATCCCTTCCCCACCCTCCTAGACACGGTTCAGTAAGAAACTTCAGCAGCAGCGGTGAATGGCTCCTGAAATACATCAGATGATTCAAATCTGTTAGATTCTCAACCTTTGACTGACAGCACCTGAGCCTTTTCCCAGATCTGGTGCATGAATTTATGAAAAATTTAAATGCTAACAAATAAGTAGAAGCAAGCAACAGTGAGCTGGTAATAAGACACCTTGGGATGTTCATTATGCTGGATTTCCAGACAGTTAAATTGGTTAATGCATTTCCCTTTGGTTTGTAGGTGAATCTTGGTGACTGTCAGGGGCACGACAGCTACCTTGTTATATATTATGGCTTATATGCCTTAGCGACACCAGCAAGCCCTGCTCTCCAGGTAAAGCCTCGACTCAGGGACAGCACAGCCTCACTCTGGCGCTCCATACCCTCTCATAGGCATGCAGGGCCCCCAAAGAAGCAGTTACATATATGCAAGTACAAGTGATGCTCTTAATTATTTCCTGCTATTAATTAATTAACTGAATTAATTCCTATAATTGTTTCCTGTAATTTGTGGGCATGGGGAAAATCACAGCATCCTCGCTGCATGGGGAAATTGGTTCGAGAAGCCACAACCGGTGAGCATGGCTGCTGTGGGGAGTGGGCAGAGGGGAGTGGGAGGGTCTGGGGCACTGTCACTGGGCAGTCTGCGCAGCAGACATCTCAAGGAGTAATTCCTCTCCTGGTCAGTGATGAGGCTCAGAATTGAGTGGCCATCATGAAAACCCAGGCTGGGTGGTGATTCCGTGGCATGAGAGCTAGCTCCCCACTCAGTTTCCCTGTCTGTTAAGTGGAGACTTAACAGGGACATTTAGCAGCGTCTGGAGATAGTTTTGGTTGTCACATGGTACATGCTGGCAGGGAAGGGGGTTGCAGGCACGTGGAGGGCAGGGAACCACTCAATACCAGCCAGGACACAGGACAGCCCCCACAAAGGATCATCCAGCCCCGAATGCCAGTGGTGTCAAGAGTAAGAAACCTTAGTGCTGGAAATGGTAACCACACAGAGACTAACAACCATTTTTCCATCCATCCTCTCTTCCTTCCTTTGACAAACTCTCCTAAAGGTGCTGGTGTGCAGACCCCGGGCTAGACACTGGGAATATAACCAAAGAGGAGAACAACAGGGGCTGGGGGCCCAGGACAGGGAGACCCTGGAGAGTCAGGTGAGCATACAATTCAGTTGGTCCCAGCACCCCACCTCCATCAATTCATGGTCTTCCCACCAGCCGCCAACACCCATTCCCTGTCCCTGTCCCCACCCCCACCACTCGCCCTGGTGCCCTCAGTAGACAGTAACTGAGCAGAGGCTTTCTCCTAGACCTCTGCCTCCTGGGATGCCATATCCTCCGGCATCTGAGCTCCTTCTCACCTCACACACTCCTCTTTTCTACTCCCTACTTGGTCCCAGCCTCTCCCTCACAGTTATTGATGTTTCCACTATTATTATGGGTTACTCTTCCCAGAGGTTTGCCTTGACTCAAAAAGCTAAACAGCAGCACTTCACACCCATGAAGATGGCTATTATACAAAAATGAAACAAGCAACCAGAAAACAAACGTTGGTGAGAAGATGAGGAGACTGGAACCTTTGTGCAGCCACTGGGAAAAACAGTATGGTATAGGCTCCTCAAAAAATTAAACATCGAATCACCATAGGATCCAGCAATTTCACCTCTGGGTACACATAAAAAAGAAGTGAAAGCAAGGTCCCGGGGAGAAATTTGTACACCCATGTGCATCACGCCTAGCATCATGATAGGCAAAAGGTGGAAACAACTCAAATGCCCATTGATGGACTGATGAGTGTTGAATATGCTCTCAATGGAATATTAGTCAGCCTTTAAAAAGAATATAATTCTGATACATGCCACAATGTGGATGAACCTCGAGGACATTAGGTTAAGTGAAAGTCAGCCACGAAAGAACCAATACTGTATGATTCCACTCACATGAGGTGCTCAGAGCAGTCAAATACACAGAGACAGAAAACACAGCGTTGGTTACCAAGGGCTGTGGGGAGGGACCCTCGCTGGTGGCCGGGGATCGAATCGGCGCTGCAGAGGCTGAAGGGCAGCCTCGCAACCCAGCGTTCAACCGCTGCGCCACCAGGGGAGGTCCCAATGTGATTATACTTTATGTGTCTATACTGAACTGTACACTTACAAGTGTTAAAAATGATAAATAATGTAACTTACACTTTACCACAATAAGAAAAAACCCTAAGCTGTGAGCACCTCATGGGCAGGCCTATATTTTTCACTTCTTTGGTTTCTGTTCAATGATATCCACAAAGGCAATGGCTGTGTGGAGAGAAGGTGAAGGAAGGAGGAAGGGGCATCTCACTAGGATCAGAGAAGAGAGCAATGGGATCTTTTTGGCTCTCCGGCCCCATAGCAGGCATCTCCCATAAGCCCTTCTCCCAGACCCACAGCCCTGGCTCCATGCTCTCCCAGCCCGAAGTGGGCACTGCAGCCACACACCCCAGGCCTTGTCTGCTCCATCCCTGCTGCCCTTGATGGTATATCATTAGCCTCCCCCAACCCTCACCCCTTGTGCTCAAATCACACTCAACAAGCTGTTCCCCATTATGACACTTTCTCAGCACCTCTGTGCCTTTGCATATTTATTTGTCTGCAAAGTTCTTCCATGCCTGCTACTTGCTAAAACTCCACCTCATCCTTCATGTCTCAGTTCATGCCATATGCTCTCTGAGGCTTCCCCTGTTTTCCCCCAGAGCCTGAGCTCCCTTCTCTGTGCTCTCACACTACCCTGCAGGGCCACCCCTATTTCAATACCGAACACCTGGGTTTGAAATTCTATTCTCCCTTTGGAGGGTGGGATGGTGGGGCATCCCTGCTGATTGGACCCATTCTCCTTTTTTCCTTGCTTAGAAGCCCAGCTTTTGCTCAGCTGATCCTCTTCCACTTGACCACGGGGGTAACCATGGGCCCAGCCCTAAGGAGATGGATCCTGATTAGTCTACATCAATCACAGAGTCCCACTCCACTCACCAGGCTACAGAGGGGCATGTGATCTAATGAAATGTGGGGGAAATTTGCTGGGGAACTCGTAGGAATGTTTCTTCGGGCTTAAAAAGACATGGGACAGGGACAAGAGGAAAGGGGTCCTTTTCTGCCTCTGGGCTGCTCATCAGCATTTGTCACTACAACTGCAGCCACCATCCTGTGCCCGTGAGGAGGAATACTGTGAACACACTGGGGATGGTAGGCCAGGGCAAAGCAGATTCTAGAAGTCAGGCACCTCACCAGTTATGTCAGGGAGAACTGAGTATGAGTAACAGTTAGCTAAGCATAGAGAATGTTAACTAAGTAACTGCAAAGGTAAAACAGAAAGTAACAACTATGAGGAGCTGTAGGGTAAGGAAAAATGTCAGGCTTTTCTGCCCTCCTGCCATCAGGATAGATGATGGATCCTTGCAGTCCTGAACGCATGCCTGATGGCGGGCACCTGGAATGGGGTGTGGGCATAGGTAGATGGGATTCACCTGGGCTGAGACTGGGCTTTTTAAGGGCGGCGTCATGGGGACGCCAACAGAAGCCTAAAGAGAAGCTGAAGCAGAAGCCGAGAGAAGGCCGGAAAGCCCATAGAGTGAAGACCTGCTGGGGGCTTGGAGGCTGGCAGCCTCCCAGCCCCTCAGCCCCCCAGTACTCCTGCCTGCCATGTACCTGGTAATCCCAATAAAAGACCTGCAAAAGCCAGTGAGGACTCTGACTCCTCCTTTACCCGGTCTGCTGGATCAGAAAACCTGCACAGTGTCCTGTTCCTGACCTTACAGGAGCTTAAACCACTTTTTAAGGTTGAGTCAACGAAGGGAAGAGGTTGGAATTAGTAATACTTACACAGAGAAGAGGCTGTGGAGTTGAAATTCAGACATCAGAGTGGGGGCTGCTTCATGGCTGGTACTGATGTCTTTGAGGTGGGAGGACAAGTCCACTGGGGCCTGGACCTGTGGTCTGTGTGAACCTGTGCTCTGAGGACAGGGTGCAATGAGGCTGCACCTGGAAATGTTGAGAAAACAGCAAATTCATTCAGCCTTGCTGCTGGGAGAATCTGCTTCTAAGGGGTGAAAAAGCCTCCCTGGGGTGAGGTCTGCAGGCACAGGAAGTCCTTAGGAAGGAAACAGGAAGCCCCTCCTCCAGCCCCTTAGCCTCCCTCCAGCACCTCCTATTGGCAGACTTTGACAGGGAGCAGCTGGCCCAACAGAAAGTGGGTTTGGGAAGTGCCAGCCCTGGGTCACAAAGCCAGGTAGAAAAGTGGCTTTGAGTTGAGACAATAGCCTTATCCAGGTGGAATGAACCTAGTTAACTGATAGAGATGGAGACAGCCTGAGTGCTGGGAGTCCCTGGGCCACTAAAGCAACCAGATTTGTTCTGCCTCAGGTTTCCTGCTGTGACAGAAGCTAAATGTCTCCGTATGTAAGCTGCGCTGCTTGGCTCTCTGGGTACTGACCCAGTGTCTGTACCACCTCAGTCTTGTCTTATTCTGCTCTGTTCCCCCACAGCGCCTAGTCTGGGACTGCCACCTGGGAAGCATTCATGAAGTTGAACCAAAACTCCCAGGCAGCTAGTACGGTGGCGAGGGGCAGAGACTCCTGGGTTGACCTCTGCTCCTCGGTCAGTGGGACATTTCAGGCCTGTCTTCACCTCTCCTGTTAGTCTCCATTTCATTACCCACAAAATCGGGGCATTAAAAACAATTATCTCATTGGATTGTGGCGAAGCCTCAGTGAGGGGCTGGTAGAGGGTTGATGTGGTGCCTACCTCACACACAGTAAACACTCTGTTGGCTACTGTTATTGGTCATTAGCTCACAGGCTGCGGTTCTGATGAATTTCAGATTGGTCCCAGAGGTCCCAGTTCCGTTCTATGTCTCAAAGGTACAGGCAGCTCCATGCTTCATCTCCCCAGGCTCAGTTACAGCTCAGGTATGACTCAGTGTAATGGCAGGAATGGGCACAGTGCAGGTTCTCTATGACCCGAGCAGACGGGGTAAAGGAGGAGCGAGTCCTGGAGCCCTCAGTGGGCTTTTGCAGGCTTTTATTGGAATTTACCAGGCACATGGCAGGCAAGGGTGCTGGAGGGCCGGGAGTCTGGTAGGCCTCCCAGCCCCCAGCAAGCCTTCACTCTATCAGGGCTCTCCAGCGTTCTCTCCTGTTCTTTTCTGCTCTCTGCTCTACTGGCATCCCCGTGATGCCACCCTTATAAGCCCAGTCTCTCAGCACAGGTGTATTCACTTATGCATGCCCACACCCCACTCCAGGTGCCGGCCATTTGGCATGCATTCAGGACCGCAAGGATCCATCATCAATCCTAATGGTGGGAGGGCAGAAAAGCCTGATAGTCTTTCACTTACCCTGCACTCAGTAACCTGCCTAGGACCCAGCCCCAACCCTCAGGCCTTCTCCCTGATCGTTTGGGAGGGTCCATTTTGAGAACTTCTTGTTCCCATGTTCTATAGCTATCTGCTGTATGTGCTGCAGGTGCTGTGTCTGCCTCCAGCCTGATTTCCTTCCTTGGGATGCAGGTCTGGTCTGGTTTTTACATTCTTCTCCCTTCTAAGCTCTTGTCCCTCTCTCTCTCCCTAAACCCCCTCGTGCCTGCATGAGACAGGTCAGGGATGGCCCTTTCCATGGTGTAGCACTGGTTTCTTAGGGCTGCTGAAACAAATAACCACACATTTGGTGGCTTAAAACCATAGAAATGAATTTTCTCATACTGTGGGGCCAGAAGTCCGAAACAAGGTGTCAGCAGGGCCACACTCCCCCTGAAGGCTCTAGGGGAGAATCCTTCCAGGGGATGGCAGCTTCTGGTGGCCTCAGTCGGCCCATGGCAGGTGGTAGCATGACTGCAATCTCTGCCTCTATCTCTCATGGCCTTCTCTCTGTGCCTGCTCTGTCTCTTTTAAAGATGATGTCATTGGATTTAGGGCCTGTCTTTGTTGTATGATCACATCACAGTCCTTAATTATAGTTCCAGAAATGTTATTTTCAAATAAGGTCCCATTCTGAGGTCCCAGGTGGACATGAATTTGGGGGGACATGAAAGAGGGTGTATTTAATCCACTACAACTAGAGGCCACAGAGCAAGGTTCAAGATAGAGCACTGACTGTCCCCACCCAGATACAGGGGTTCCTTCTTCTGGAGTCACTGTCACCTGAGGGGCAACCCCAACCTTCCAGCACTGTAACGCCCAGCCTCTGCAGTCAGGTGGCACTCACTGCTAGACTCTCAGTAGGTTCCATTACACCACCCCTTGCTTCTCACCTACAGGTTGTAGGCAAGAGCCATCTGTCAAAGAGACACTGTAAATAAACACATTTCTATGTGGGGACTGGTGTACAGCGAAGGGAAAGGAAAAGAATTAAACAAATAAAGGCAAAATCTTCATCATCCACAAAACAATATGCAAAAACCAGGGCATTCCTCCGGACCATCAATAAGTAATCCAGACCACAAAAGTAATACATTAGACAGCTTGTGTAATGGTAGCATGTGAAAGACTGTGGAACTTTCTAAAATTAATTTTCTTCATTTTGGTTTATTAAAATTGCGCTCATCTATCTCCCCTGTTAAATATTTTATTTTTTCATATTAATGGCTGCAATTTCAGCTTGTGCCTGTTTCTGTCATTAACACTGTACAAACTTAATATCATTAGTAGTTTTTCCCTTAATTATGTGACTAGAGAAGAAAAACATCAAAGTTTCCGTGAAATTGGAATAGTATATCTAAATTGCCTCATGTTTATTTTAACATTAACAGTAAATGAAGCTAATGGGCTTTTATATTATTAAAAGCACTCATTTGTGTCCTGCCTGTTCTAATATATAACAAAGCTTTAAAAGATGTTAAATAATTAGTTATTTAATAGGGATGGGTGGAATAGATCAAATGAAAGGAAAAGTTGAGGGTAACCAACACACACAGTTGAGGGGTCTCTCCCTTTTCAGGCTTTCAAAAGGGGATCCCCTCTCCCCAGGTTCCCTGCTCCACTGTTAACCTGAGTGTTTAAAATTTATAACCACCTTGGAGAGTTAAAGCAACAAAATCTATTGCTGTAGTCCTGTGGAAGACACACATGTGTGGGGGACAATAATGTTTGCAATTATTTCTGGGCAACCTCCATTCATAATTCAATACCTGCACAAGGCCCTGTTAGGCTGAAACTCAGAGGTCCTCCAAGGAAGACAGCCTGGTGTGGCTCCTGCTGCTGATCCACTTCCTCCCTTACAGCCTCCTGCCTCCTGGAAGGTTCTCCTTGGCTTTAGGGTTGCTGATGAGTGAAGGCATTCCTCTGCTCTCATTGCCCAGTGAGACATGGGAAAGGGGTCTGGCCAGTGGGTCTAAAAGAAAAGCCAGATTGGTTGTCATTCTCCGGCTCAGCCCCCTGCAAGGACTCCCTGTGGCCTGCTACAGCAGGCCAAGTCTCCTTGATTGAGACTTGAGGCCATGCTTATCTGACCCTAGATTCTGCTCTTCCTGACATCTGTGCTTGGTTTCCTCCAGCTGGTTCCTCACTGGCCTGGCATATGCCATGCCATCCCATCCCCTTGTCTTTGCTCATGCTGTTGCCCTGACCCAAAGCCACTTTCACTTTTTCCTGTCTATTCAAATTCTAGTCATTATTTAGGATTAAATTCCAGCTCCTCCATTAGGTCTCTCCTGAATTTCTAGAGTAGTGGATCTCAAACTTCAGCATGCATCAGACTCACAGAGAGGGTTCAGTACACACAGATCATCAGGCCCCACCCCTAGAATGCTGGATTCTGTTGGTGAAAATGTCTACAAAGGTCAAGCTGATGCTGCTGCTATTCTGGGGTCCCCACTTTGAGAGTTACTAGAGTGTATGTGGTCCCTCCAGACCATCAGGCATGGTCCTGGTAGTGGCACAAAAGTTTCTCTGACATTGGCATTTGGCCAAGACTTGTCTCCTTAGACAGAAAGTTCCATAAGGGCAGAAGCTCTGGGCTATTTCTCTATATCCCTCAAAACATCACTTGAGGAAAGACTCATCGAGTTCAAGCAAATGACTTCTAATGAAGTGATAGGCTAGCTGCTGTAGAGTTTCCTTCAATCTTTAGAGATATCTCCATTTGATAGGTGAGGAAGCTGAGGCTTAGAGAGGTGAAGTTACTGAAGGTCAAACAAATAACAAATATGATTTGAACCCAGGTTCATCCCCAGAGCCCAGACCAGTGCTTCCTAATTGGGTGATTTCAAAAATAAGGACTTGGTATGAAGGCAACTGTATTAAAAGCAAACTGGATGTTTTGTCATTGCCATGCTAAGGAATGTGGGCTTCCAGAAGAGTTACACCTTGGAAGGGAGAAAAATTGAGGCGATACACTCTCCATGGATTTAGAGATCCTTTAGTCTGGGGCAGAATACATGTGGTAAGTAAACTGCCATTTTATCCTGACTAAGAGTTGATCTGCACCTGATCTTTGGTGCAGTCTCAGAATCCTTCTCAGAGCCCCTGATTGACATTTCTCTGCCACAATGAAACAAGTTTGCCATATTATAGTCCAACTTCTCCATGCAGGTAAGAAAACTGAGGCCCTGAGAGAAACTGCAATCCATCCACATAGCAAAGTAGTGGTGTGTATTAGTTATCTCCTGCCGCATAACAAATGATCCCCAGACTCAGCAGTTTAACATAAACAACTATTGACTCACAGTTTCTGTGCAATACAAATTTGGAAGTGACTATTTGCTGAGTCTATCCTATGGTTGCAGCTGGGATGTTGGTAGCTGCAGCAGTCACCCAAGTCTTGATGGGGGCTGGAAGATGTGTTTCCAAGGAAGCTCACTCACTCCACTGTTGACCCAAGGCTCCAGTTCCCATCCCAGGAACCCCTGCATAGGCTGAGTGAGTGTCCTTATGACATAGCCTCCCACAATGCTGGCAAATAAGCAAGGGATCCCAGAGAGAGTAATGAGGGAGTTCAGAGGCCCTTTGTGGCCTGGTCTCTAAAGTCACAACTCATCACTTCAGCTGTATTCTATTTGCAAGAAAGGAGTCACTAGGGCCTCCCTGGTGGTGCAACGGTTGAGCGCTGGGTTGCGAAGCTGCCCGCAGCCTTTGCAGCACCGGTTCGATCCCCGGCCGCAGGGCGAGGGTCCCACATGACGTGCAGACCTCTCCTGCCGCCCACTGCTCCCCTCAGCAGTGTACTTCGGCCCTTCTGCCTGTTCTGCTCCCCGCTGTGGATCTGGTGAATTCTCTCACCCTCCCACGTTTCTGACTGTACCCAGTGCTTATATAAATAAATAAATCTTAAAAAAAAGAAAGAAAGAAAGGAGTCACTAAATCCAGTCTCTACTCATGGGGAGGGAAATCAGGTTCCATCACTTGAAGGGGAAAATATCAAAGAATTTATGGACACTACATGACAGAATAGCATCCAGAACTCATGTCCAATTTTTTTCAATTGTGAGATAAATCAATTAAACATACATCCACAGCATAAATCATGATCATAAAATCAACACCTGAGTAGTCACCGCCCAGGTTACTATATCTAGAATTTGATCAGCTCCAGAACTCATGTGTGTCCCATGCTGATTACAAATGCTTCCCCACTCCCCAGAAAATAATCACTATTCTGACTTCTGTGATTTTTGTTTCCTCATCCTTTTTATCATTTTACCAACTGTGAATCACTAAACAATATATTTCTTTTTCTCACTTTTGAACTTCACATTAATGGACACACACTGTAATGATTCTCTGTTGTCTCGCTTTCACTCAACATTATGTGTGTTTCATTTGTGTTTTTGCCAGGGAGCTGTATTTTGTATTTTGTTGTTGTTGTACTGTATTTTGGTTTTTTTTTTGTTGCCTTTAATAATTTCCTCCCTAAGGATGATTGTCATTGTGTTTGATAGTCTGCTTTCTCTTAGTATTTGCAAGGTATGACTCTCCCCAGCCATTTGGATTTAATCTTGTGCTCTATATGTCTTTTAAATGTTTTTAAATGTAGTCTGATAATCTTCAGTTTTTTAACTGGAACATTTATTCCACTTATACTTAATGTAACTGCTGATATATTTGGATTTATTTCTACATTATTTTGTGCTCTCTATTTGCTCCACCTTTCCCCTGCTTGTTCTTTTTTTTTTTTTTTACTCTCCCTTCTTGCCATTTTTGGATTAATGAACTATGGCTGACCATTCAGAACTGCTCCTTCAATTAGTGTGAAAGGTATGTTTTGTTTCTTTTCTTTCGATAGTTAACCTAGAAATTATCACAACATGTATTCAAACATTGTAGTAACTAACATTAATCAATAGTGCCATCCTCCACCTAGACCATACAAGGGGCTGAGAACACTTTAAATCCACTTAACCTCTGACTTCCATGTTGGTGTTTTCATATTTAAAATTTTTTCTTTAAATTCCACATAACACTATTATTACAGCTTAAAGTAGTCAATGTTTATTTAGTCTTGCTGTATAGTAAGCAGTTTCTGTGTTCTTCACTTATTTACATACTTCAGTTCCTTGGCCTGGGGTCACTTTCTCTCCCGTTAGCATTGCCAGTTAGGGAGGCGCTGTTAGTGGCATTTTTTCTTCTTCTTCTTTTTATATATAAGAACTTTAATTTTACTTCAATCTTGTAGACATTTTCTCTGTCTACAAAATTTTAGGTCGGTGGTTTTTTGTTTTTTGTTTTTTTTTTAAAGATTTATTTGTTTATTTATACATGCACTGGGTACAGTCAGAAGCGCAGGAGGGTGAGAGAATTCACCAGAGTCAGAGCGGGGAACAGAGCAGGCAGATCAATGAAATACACTGCTGAGGGGAGAAGTGGGTGGCAGGAGAGTTCTGCATGCCATGTGGGACCCTCGCCCACTGGCCAGGGATTGAACCGGCTCTGTAGAGGCTGCGGGCAGCTTCGCAGCCCAGCACTCAACCTCTGAGCCACCGGGAAGGCCCTCAGTGGTTATTTTTAATCAACACCTGCTAACATATTCTACCATCTCCCAGCTCCCACTGCTCCTGTCGAAAGTCAGCAGCAAATCTGGATTCTCCTTTTTGTAACCTGATTGTAACCTGTTTTTCCCCTGCCTCTGGCAGCTTTAAAGAATCTTTTCTATGACATTAGTGTTCTCCAGTTTCTAGATTTTGATGAATGTGTGTTTGTGAATTTTATTAATTTAACCTTCATGGGATTTTTTGAGCTTCTTAAAATGATGGATCAATATTTTTCTTCAAGTCTGAAAATTCTTAGTCAGTATTTCTTAAATGACTGCATCAGCCCAATTCTCACTCTTTTCCTTCTGAAACTGATTTCATGTATATAAGATCTTTTAATTTTATTTCCTATACCTCTTCTCTTTCACATTCCCCACCTCTTTTTCTATGTTTACTATACTCATCTATTTCCCTGATTCTCTCATCAGTTGTCTTATCTGCTGTTATACACATCTATTGAGGTTTACTTCAATTATTATGTTTTCATGTCCAGATATAATATTTTCTTCTTTTTAGAAACTATTAAGCTCCCTTCCTGCCTCATTTTCCTGTTCACTGCAGATATTATCTACCTTGCCTTTTTACTTCTTTCAAATAGTAAGCATCATTATATTTTATATTTTATAATTCCAACATCTGAAATCTTGTAAATCTGTTTCTGACAACTATTGTTTCTGCTGGTTCTTATTCCTGGAGCCTTATTTCCTTGGTTATTTTTATCTGAGTTATTAATTTTCCTTGGAAATTTATTTTTGGTAATTCTTTGAGGTCTGGGATAAAAAGATCTGTGTTTGCTTCTGCCAGGTGCCTTAAAGGCATTACCAGACCAAGACTACTTTGAATTAAGTTCATGGCTATGTTTATTCTGATCATTCCAGAGATGTAGATTTGAGTTGCAAATCCCTTTTCATGAGTGGCTCTTTCCCCCTCTGCTCTGCTCAAAAACAAGAGAACTTTTCCTATAGTTCCTAGGTGTGGAAGGGGGTAAGGCCATCTTCCTCTGGTTCACACTTACCCTGAGATCTCTGTTTGGAGTCCCGCCTTCATGAATTAGGAAGTCCTATTAGATTCCCCAGGTTTTACTGTCCTGGGTTTTATCTCTAAAACTTTCAATGTCAAAACTTCAGCTCAAGTTTGAAGGCTAAGCATGCCCAGGGACACAAGTAGCTTCAGTTCCTGCTTTCACTTAGCCTTGGCCTTATGGCTTTCAACTATCTTGTCAGCTTTCTAATGCTTTTAAGAAAATTTTTATTCATCATTTCTATTTTTTTCTGCCATAAGGGTTGTTCTAAATAATCCAAACTGCCATATTACTGGAAATAGAAATATATCCTGTGCTTTTCCCACAAGTTTCTCAATTGGAAAAACCAAAACTTCTCTTTCACATTCCCCACCTCTTTTTCTATGTTTACTATACTCATCTATTTCCCTGATTCTCTCATCAGTTGTCTTATAGTCCAATTCATTGAGTGTTGGGGGTGATGGGGTGGTGGCCATTAGGCAAAAGTCCTACTGAAGGCAGTGGGGTTGCCTTACCCACTGAGCATGAGCCTTGCCTGTGTACCTGGGCAGGTACATGCTAACTTGTCTGTGTTCTCCAGGAAGGATTGTCTTGACTCTCACTGTTTTACAAGATCCTTTAAGCAGAAGGATGACATGGTCAGATGTCAATCCATAAAGAAGGCCACGGGTGACTGTGTAGAGAGGTATTGGAGATAGAGCAGATCTGGGCAGAGCAGTTCCCAGGTGTTGCAGTAGACAGGGAAGGAGATAATGGCAGCTTGGACTGGGGCCAGGGAGGGGAGAGATGTGGAAGACTGATCAATATTAGGAGGTGGGGCCTCCCTGGTGGAGTAAGGGGTTAAGACGCAGCCTATGAAGCTGTCCGCAGCCACTGAAGCATAAGTCCCATCCCCAGCCAGGGAGCAACACACATGGCGCAGCAGACCTCTCCTGTCTCACCCACTGCTCCCCTCAGCAGTGTATTTCAGTTGCTCCAGCTGTTCTGTTCCCTGCTCTGTCTCTGGTGAATCCTCTCACCCCCCACACCTCTGGCTTACACACCAGTTCTTGTATGCATAAATAAATCTTTAAAAGAAATTAGGAGGTGGCATTAACAAGCATCCAGCTATTGGCATTATCACTCCAGATGGCAGATTTTAAGAGGTGTAGCTCTTCTTAAGGTTCAGTTGGCATGAATGGCTGGGAGGCAACTGAATTCCAAAAAATGAGTCCTGTGACCACCCTGGAAATTGTGGCCTGGTGAGAGATGATTGTGAGACCCTTTGGGTAAGGGATTCAAAGCCCTTCCTTAAACAGCATGTCTGATTGACAAACACAAAGGTGGTGAGGGGCCCGGGTGTCCCACCCTCCCCAGTGAGGAGGGACCTCTCTGCATTATGACTCCCCTGAACATAGTCATCTTGTTTACAGGGTAACCTCCCAACCTCAGTTAAAGAGGATTACAAAAAGGAAGCAAGAGGAGGCAAAAATAAAGAATAGCCTCAGATAATAGAAGAAGGACAAAGACTAATAAAAGATAAATTAGCATGAATTCGGAGGCTGAGGACTGGGCTTAGGTCTCTAAGTTTCCAGAATGCAGGAGGAAGCAGAAATGAAAGCTGTTCACCAGGGCTGCTGGGGGAGGGGGTACTGCCACCCACCAACACCCCAGGCCAGACTGTCCATATTAGTCACTCTACTTATAAGGAAATCCAGTTGCAGGCTGCAGCCTCAGAAGTACCCCAGAACAGCCTTCTCCAGCTTTTCACTGTCTTCCTGAACATCCTTCCTTCCGCTCCTTACGACGCAGGTCTTTATCCCTTCTCCCACCCCCACCCTCAGCATGGAGTTGCCAAGATACTGCTCAGTGTATGTGTGAGGTGCCATCAATTCATTTGCACAAATTCATTTAATCCTCATGACCAGGGATTAATCCATTAGCCCAGTTTATAGACGGGCAAACTGAGGCTGAGAGCACTGAAACAACCTGTCCAAGGTCACCCGGGGGGGAGGAGCCGAGCTGAGATTTAGACTCAGGAATTCTATCTCCAACAGGGCGAGGTTCATCATTCTGCTATGAGGGAGTAACCCTGTACCCCACAGCCCAATGGGTGGAGGTATGTTTTGAGGAGAAGGTTACCTTGAGGTGCATGGAATGAGGCACCATAGTGTATATCAAAGGCATGGATGGGGTGACCTTACCTCATTGTTGGAGGGTGGGGATCCATTCATCCAAGGTGTTGGTTCATCCCTGTGGGTCTCCTCTGCACTGGTACTGGGCCAAACAGAATCTTCTACGACCAGAGAGTGGTCCCTTTAGGACAAAGCCAAGAAAGAAACAGTCAAGGGGCTGGTATCCTCTGGAAAAGGTGGAAATTTACCAGTGGGGATGGAACCTCAGACCCAGAGGACCAGACACTCTTTTAGGAGGCCCTGCCCCATCCAGTCCATTCTTCTCACCAGCTTCATCCCCGGGGTCTTCTGAGACACAGTCCTGATGGAGTGGCCCCACAGCTCTGAGTCCTTAGCAACTCCCAGCACTTGGGACGTGTCCAGATCAACTTCTATGGCCCTATTCTCCATCCAGCCTCTCCTCAGGGCTCCACCAGACCCAGCACTGTCTGGATGGCTAGGGCCCCCTCATTAGGACTAATAGGACCCCACAGTTGTGTCTCAGTCCTGGCCAGCAGATCAAATCCTGGTTCTTGCCAGACCAAGTTCCCTCTGTTTAAGGGCAAATGTCTGGCTGTGCCTGCTGCTTCCACTTGTAATCATCCCCTGTGAACCCAGGAGGACACTTCCGCTCCATCCTGTATGGATGTGGGCCTGGCCACTGGCTCCTGCAGACAGAGCTAGTGCTTTGCTTTTCCATGAATTCTCCTTTCTGCCTTCGCTAGATCGTCACAACTTCCTCCCTTTCTGAGTGGACTCACTCTCTTTCTGGGCTCCCCGGGTGGGGTGCTGCAGGGTCTCCAAATAGTAGTCCCCTAAGAGGGTCCATCCCTTCCCCTCTCCTTGCTAGTCCTCTCATTTATAACCTTTGACCTGGTGAGGCCTGCAAGGTCATGCCAACCCTGGCTTTGGGGTCCTCTCTTTAGGGAGAACAGATGAAAAACAGGCAAGGAACTCTGGAAAAGAGCCTGGTGGGCTGTGGAAACTAAGTCTGGTATTGGCATGCATTCAGCAAACAGTGCTCCATGCCAGGTAGTCAGTGGACATTGGGTGGGAACCAGCAGATGAGGGCTTTCCCCTACTGGAGCATATGGCATAGGGGAGGGGCTGAGGGGCTGCTGAGACACTGAACAATTACAAGCAGGATGCAGACACTTGGGGGCTGGGACCACATCACTCCTTCCTGAGCCTCAGTCCTTCATCTGTAAAATGGGAACACTATTGCCCATCTCCCAGAGCAGGTGGGATGATCGAAGGACACACCACACAGAAAATCTCCCACATGCTGAGCTGCAGCATTTTCCAAAACTAAGGGTTGAGTTGCAAGAATGGGTTTTCAAAAAAATTGGTGAGTCATGAATACTTTCTTTTACAAAAATATAAATAGAGACATTATATGAACCATATGTAATAATGGTATTAGTTTGTAAAACTTCTACTTTAGGGCTGTGTATGTATATGATGGGTCCTGTAGAGAAATATTCTTATTTTACCACAAGACAGCCACCAAGAAGTTTGAAGGTCATTGACCTAATGGTTCAGAACAGGACTTTAGAGTCACCCAGATTTAGTTCAAATTCCAGTTCCACAACTTATCACACTTGTGACACGGACACGTCCCCTCCCCTCAGAGTCCCCCCAGCTGCTGTGAAGACTGATGAAACAGAGCTTGTGAGCAAGCTGCTCGTGTTATTACTGATTGTGTTATATATAGCAGGACCCCAAGTGTCAGCTAATTGTCTCTGACCTAAAAACATGACAAGTAATATGAAGATATTATTGTTGTTGCTGGATTTTTCTCTATCAATAGTGTACCAGGCACCAACCTTATTTAATCCTCACAGCAGCTATGAGGTAAATTCTATCACTATTCCCATTGTACAGCTGAGCAAACTGAGGTAATGGAAGGCTGAAATTCAGAGTCCACTCACAGTTGAAGCACCCAAGCTCAGACTCCTGCCCAGCACTGATAGCATCCGTGCTCTGATTCGGGGCTTCCTTTAGCCTCAAGGACTCCAGTGACTCCATTTTTGAGCTTTCTGGGCTAACCTTAGCTGCTGGCCCAAATTCCCCACTGTACCGCCCACTGCTGCCCTGGACTGATGGCTCCGCCCCAGTTTCCTGAGGGCACTAGCCTTCCTCTTGCTTTCCACACTCCAGCTGTTTCTTAGAACTTCTGCCCCTCCAGTTTCCCAGGGCTGCCCTGAGTGCTGGTGGCAGTCAGTGGGGTTCTGGGGAAGCCTGGTCTTTGAGGCTGGGGCCAAGCCTGTGGCCCAGGCCTGTGGCCCATGGCCCTGCCAGCCTCTGCTCCAACCCTATGTGATCAGTAGGATGGGACTCAGTTCCTGGCAATCTCCAGGACTAAGAAAGCACCTCAAAAGGGGGTTGTCCCCCTGGCATCCCAACTCTTGCGATGAACCCCCACCCGGAAGTGGAGAGCCAGTGCAAAGGCCCTAGGGGAGACCCGAGGTGCCCACACGCTGAAGCGGAAGCACAGACGCCTACCAGTGCAGTGTCAGCCACAGGCTCTCGCCACATCCATCATCCAGTCCTTAAGACATATTAAAATGGATTTAAAAAGACATTTTGCATTTTCTCTCCTTAACACCCACATTATTGCCACACATCGGCTTTTGTTTTAATTAAAATCGGTTTTGAAATCCTCCATGAAACTTCAGTGGGATTGTTAAAGGCGGCAATTTCCTTATCGGCAGTGCGTCCCCACAACATACTGTAATAGTTATTTTGCAACAAAGCACAAGTCTTATTAATTTAGCTCAATCAAATCAGCACCACGTTAATTTATGGGGCTGTAAAAATCTGGCAGTGCTGCTCTAGATCAAGGAACTTAGGGCAGGCAAGACACCAAGTGGGATGTTTATTTTGTACAATGGTCCCTAACTGCATTTCTGTGATTTAAAAGCTTTCCGAGGCGTGCGATGATAATATTACATGCATATAGAATTGTGTGTTTGCTATGCCTCATTACTCCCCACAGAGACCCAAAATCATTTGGTATTCAACTCCTACCTAAAATATTTCCTTTTACATACAAATATTTTTTCTGCTTTAAATGGCTTCTCTATGTTAAATTTTTTTTTCCGGGGCTGTGAAGCAAAATCGTTTCCTATGTGGGATTCTATTTTAGTGCAGTATTGATCTTTAGTGGTGGTTACTAAGTGGGTAGTTGGCTTTTCCCCTTCTTTTCTTCTGGCCAATCCCTCCAAATGCGAAGCAGGTGAAGGTTTCCTTGGGGTTGATTTGCACATTTGCCCTTATTCCCCGCCCTTTCAGATTCCTGCTTCCTGGTTTACTTTTACTGATGAGTTCTGCAGCAGCTAGAAATGCTTCTCTCTCACTCACATCTTAATAACAAAGCTTCGCAATAATGATCGTAATGATTTACCAGGAGATGCAGCTCAGTAGCCAGTGAAAGACTGGAAAGGCAGTGTGAGTGGGCAGTGAGGAGATGGAGGGTGAGAGAGAGCAAGGGACCTGCCCACAGTCACACAGCAAAGGGGCGTGGAGTCTGGGACTCAGCTGGATCCTCTGAGCCCTCATTTTCTCATTATTAGAATGAGGACCGTAAGAATTGGAGGGAAGTCATTCATATGAATAGCCCAGCACGAGACTAGGCATAGAGTGAGTCCCCAGTCATGTTAGATGTAGATATCAAGGCTAGACCCGGTTTTCCAAGCACCTGACTCTGAATTGCAAAGCTGACCACATTCAGGTGCAAGCAAGGGCAACCGACATTCAAATGCTTACCCTGGGGAGCTGCTGTCAGGGTACAAAATGCTTGCCACTGCCCAGGAGGGGGGCATGCCTGCTCTGGGGACAGACTGGGCACTGAAACAGGATGTATTTATTAACTAATGGCCTCAAGACAACCTCTCTCAAGACAGAGAGGCATAAAACCCCATTTAATGGATGAAAAAAACCAAGGCTAGCAAAAGTTTCAATGACTGCTATGATGTCGGACAGCTGACAGCAGAAGGGTGATTCTAACTCCAGGACTATGGAATCCTTGCCAGTGTCCCTTCTAGTGCACTGGCACCTCTGATGCCCTGGCCAGTCTGCAGGAGCCTAGGGAGATGGTGACTGAGGTTTGGGTAAAAAGTGTGTTTCCTGTTGGTGGTATAAGCAGTTGATGTGATGGCAATGGGGGTGTGGGGGGTCAGAAGGCACCCCTTGCTCCCTTCGTGACTCTGGCTACATCTTAGAGAGAGCTGTCCTCTAAGTTAAGTCTTGTCTTTTTCCCATATATGTATTTATTTATGGTGGCTTTGCCACACCATACGCAACCCACACTATCATTGAACATCCTTCTCCACGCTGTTGTTGAGAATGAAGTTCTGGTTAGTCTGGAGAGCAGGAAAGCTCTCAGTTCTTGCCAAGGACTTTGTGTTGGGCATGGAGATTCTGATGTGTGACTCCCAGATGCCACCCCATCTCTAGTTACAATGCCATGGCACACACTAACTTCAGAGGCAGTCCACACCATTGTCAGACCAAGGTCTTGTTTCAAATCCACCATTTCTTGTGTGGAACCCAAACCACCATCTTCAGTCAAGCATTGTCACATCATAAAGAGTGGCCAGGCATCCTTTCTGATCTGCCTGGCGAGGGTGGGTGTGACAGGTAGATCAAGCACCAGCTCAAAGTCATATAGGTTAGTTGAGGCCAAAGCTATGTCTCCAAGGATCTCAGCAAGCAAGTGCCATCTCCTAGCAAGGTGGAGAAGCAGAGATGAATTTATTGGCCATGAAAGGCCAGGGAAGGGGTGCTCAGGGCCTAGGGCAGATGTGTTTGTTGCGGTGCTTGGCCTGGAGGTCTCCAGAGAGGAAAGGAGCCAGAAAGTCACAGTCAAGGCGCTCAGTTTTAAGCAAATCCAAACCCTTGGCTAAGCTCCAGAAAAAGACCATTAAAATGGGACGGTGTGGTGTAAGCTGAGGGAGTCTGCTGGATGAAGTTTCAGACGAGGCTCATGTCTATGCAATGACATCGAGACCAAAAGCTTCACTTTTGACTTACTTTGTCAAGTAGTTTTAGAAACCGTGTGCCCAGCAAGGGGGGTGGGGGTGGGGGGAGGGTTTGAAAGGAAAAGGAAGCAGAAAGCATTCTCAATACAGGCCCTGTCCT